TGCAAGTACGTTGTCGGCCTTTTAAAAAGGAATAAACTCTTTTCTTGAAGGTTTCAATATCGTATCGGTTCGGAAATACCATTGCTGGAAGGTGATTCCACAATGTGGTTGTGCGAGGCAAAAAGTTTCTAGACAACCGCACTGTGGAAGACCGCCATTCATCCAGATGATCAGGATGGTATTTCAGTTTCTGGCGGGTGGTACGGTGGTGAAACTTAGCAGCTGGTATTAATTCGAACAAATTGCTTAGAACACTCCCCGAGATATATGCGGTAGAAAATGGACAGAGATGCATATCTCGCCGCAAAGCCAATGGGTCGAGTCTGTCACATAGACATTGAAGACGTGAAATCATATTTACTGAACAAAGTCTATTACTCACTAAACGATTACTTGAATGACGAGCGTGCATGGCAATAGTTGTTCGTGCACGGGATTTTCATTTAATGTTAGACATAGACACTTATATAAATATACTTAGTAAATAAACTGGCTTTAAAAATAAAGTAATTTAATTGTGTTTCTTGCCAGTTCTTCTCAATTGGATCTATATACTGAACTGGACGGTAGGGAAAAATTGTAACTTAAAAATTTGACGTTCATAATCAGCTAAAATATCCTACACGAATAAATGATTTCTGAATAGCCTTTTAAGATAAAATAGGCTTTTTTCGTGAAGGTTTCAATATCATATCGGTTCGAAAATACCATGATTCTTTTTTTTTATTTTCACACAAATTTATACAACAGAATATAAAAACAATAAGCCGCAAAACTGCTCAGCAGTTTGTCTGCAGCAAAAGCGCTTAACGCGCTTAACACACATACATTCCACAATATGGTTGTGCGTGGCAGAAATGGAGATACATTCGACCACCCACGTCATTTTTATAGAAATTATTTTCCTAGTGATTTTGGTACATATATTATTTTATTACTGTACATATATTATTTTATTAATGTAGGTACACACTTGTAATATTTCTGTCGCCACTTGAGACCCTTCCATCAGTCTACGTCTCTACTAACATAGATTTAAGTTAAGTGTAAAATCAGTCTACGTCCCGACACCGCGGCGATTGTACGCCTCATTAATAGGTCATGCCTACACTTGTAATATTTCTGTCGCCACTTGAGACCCATCCATCAGTCTACGTCTCCACTAACATTGATTTAAGTTAAGTGTAAAATCAGTCTACGTCCCGACTCCGCGTCGACTGTACGCCTCATTAATAAGCCATGCCTACACTTGTAATATTTCTGTCGACACTTGAGACCCTTCCATCAGTTTACGTCTCCACTAACATAGATTTAAGTTAAGTGTAAAATCAGTCTACGTCCCGACTCCGCGTCGACTGTACGCCTCATTAATAAGCCATGCCTACACTTGTAATATTTCTGTCGACACTTGAGACCCTTCCGTTAGTTTACGTCTCCACTAACATAGATTTAAGTTAAGTGTAAAATCAGTCTACGTCCGGACTCCGCGTCGACTGTACGCCTCATTAATAAGCCATGCCTACACTTGTAATATTTCTGTCGACACTTGAGACCCTTCCGTTAGTTTACGTCTCCACTAACATAGATTTAAGTTAAGTGTAAAATCAGTCTACGTCCGGACTCCGCGTCGACTGTACGCCTCATTAATAAGCCATGCCTACACTTGTAATATTTCTGTCGACACTTGAGACCCTTCCATCAGTTTACGTCTCTACTAACATAGATTTAAGTTAAGTGTAAAATAAGTCTACATACGTCCCGACTCCGCGTCGATTGTACGTTATTATTAAGCCATGGAGCACACTACCAATAAACTTAATAATGTCTAATAAATAGTACAATCATTTTACCGGTATACTCACTACCTACACACTACAATAAATAATATATTCAACATATATAACGCTACAGTGATGAGGATAACCACTGCGCTACGTTACTATATCTATGTCACTCATAGTATAGTCTACTCATAGTAGAATAGAATAGAATAGAAAATTTATTAATTCAAATAAACTTACATTGAAGCACTTTTAAATAGTCATCACATTTTTTTAATCTACCGCTCATTCGGAAAGCTGTCTCATCACAAGAAGAACGAGCAAGAAACTTGTGTGTTGCTCTTTTAAATAATTTTATTCTTACTTTACAATTGATGTTTAAGTGTGTGACTAGAAACTACCAATTAGCATTAATTCAATTAAATAATCAAGTACACAGCAAACCCGAATGTTTTTTTTTTATACTATGATGGTGGCAATCAAGCATACGGCCCATCTGATGATAAATGGTTACTGTAGCCTATGAACACCTGAAATACTAGGGGTATCACGTGCGCGTTGCCGACCCTTAAGAAACCTTAATATACCCTTCTTGAAAAACCCCATGCTGTAGTCTCGTGGGAAAACCTCGGCAGGAAGTTCATTCCACAATCTAAGTGAACGCGGGAAGAAACTCCTCTGAAACCGCACTGGGACCTTCGAAGTATTGTCTCTAATCTTAATATATAGATAAATCTTTACGTAAGTCTGTCTAGCTACCTAATGATTATTTTATCTTTACGTTGCGATGTGAAGTAATAATGACATCAGTGTACCTGATAACGGTCAACTGTCACTGTCACCGTTGATCTGTGATGACGACCTTCGTGGTAGCAGCGTGATCACTTTACCTTAAGGTAAAATCTGTATTATGATAGACTCTATCTAGATAGGTTATCATTTGGATTGTAGTAATGATATAGAAACGAAAACATAATTTGAGATACGAACTATATCGTTTAGAAAAAGTTAATAGGTCTTTTATGGGAATAGGAAAGGAAAGGATATGTTGTAATTGCCCTTAAATAAATAAAAACATCTGTTAAATCATATTTACTGAGCGAAGCCTATTACTCACTAAACGATTACTTGAATGACGAGCGTGCATGGCAATAGTTGTTCATGCACTGGATTTTCATTTAATGTTAGACATAGACACCTATATAAATATACATTGTAAATAAACTGGCTTTAAAAAAAAACAGTAATTCAATTGAGTTTCTTGCCAGTTCTTCTCAATTGGATCTATATAGCGAACTTAAAAATTTGACGGTCATAAGCGGCTAAAATGTCCTACATGTATAAATGATTTTTGAATTTGAATTTGAATTTGAATCCTTATTCATGACGACCTCGGTGGTTTAGCGGTTTAGCCGCCTTTATTACGATGGCCGCGGGTTCGATTCCTCGCACGGCACAAACATTTGTATTCATGAGTATGATTGTTTGTATCGCTCTGGGTGTTTTCTATGTATACTATATATGTATTCACAAAAAAAAGTATCCGTGTATTTGTATCGCTTGTGTGATACCCATCACACTATTTAGCTTTAGATTAGAAGGCTCTATGTTAATTGAAAATAAAAATTAAAATATGATACGAAAAAATTACGGTAATGTATGATACATTCAAACAAAAGGATACAGATTTTTGAGGTCAGGTCAGTTAGTCCATCGTAACAAATTCACAAAGAATTTGCCACGATGGTTTCCAGGGGGAACCGCGTGGAGGTCAACCATGGTACATTGTTAGTGAAGCGGAGGTATCTAATATGTCTGATGAGTGAGAGGTGCTGAGGGTAAGGAAAATACGGAGACAAAATAAAATACGACAGCGATATATTGTAGTTTATTAGTAACTAGCTACTCGCCCTGGCTTCACACTGGTGTACATGTATTATATATCACTTACATCATACTTGTACATAAGACACACACTATATAGTGCAAAATGTTATGTTTATTTCAACATCTTTGTTTTTCTTATAATTTAGATTTTTAAATATGTATCTATTGATAAAATATTGTTTATATATATCATGTTATAATAATTTTCATCCTTCTATAATAAAAGTACATGTATTGGGAAGGAACAGGCTTCTGTCATACGGCTAATGCTAGTTCAGAAGCCAGGACAATACAACATATACAATATCAATCCTTTCAGTATATATGTGTACATATATATTGAAAGGATTGATATTGTAGAATGTGTACCGATTGTATAAATAATATTGTAACGATCCTTCTGAATTTAATAAAGATTATTATTATTATATATATAAACCTTCCTCTTGAATCACTCTATCAATTAAAAAAACCACTTCGAAATCAACGGATTTCTTACGCAACGGCGTAGTTTTAAAGATACAAACATACATAGGGACGGACAGACAGCGATAGCGACTTTGTTTTATACTATGTAATGAAAAGTTTATTATTCAATTGTTACTAACAACGATAAATACCAACGTGCCAATACAGATATCATTGACATAAATACGTAGAACATAGTGGCAGGTAATAAACAGATAAAGTCGACAGTCGAACGTGTTCGTACATCTATAGCGGACAGCAATATTGTATCGGTCGCGTATAGGTACATAAGAACGGGTGCAGTGTAATAGTTATTAAACAAATCAGCAAAATGACGACTCAAGAGAAAATGGCTGAGGAATTGAACAGTTCCAGTAAGTACATTTTTTAAAATAAAACAAACAAAAATATTTACAAATTAAAATTCATCTATTACGGACAACAATATTGTCACAGTCACAATTCAATAATGATCACATGCAATGGTTATTTAAAAAAAACTACAGGAAAATGTTGACTAAAGAGAAAATGGCTAGGACTTGAACATTTCCAGTAAGTACATTTTTTAAAATAAAACAAACATAAATATTTATAAATTAAAATTCATCTATTACGGACAACAATATCATCACAGTCACAATTCAATAACGATCACATGCAATAGTTATTAAAAAAAACTACAGGAAAATGTTGACTAAAGAGAAAATGGCTAGGACTTGAACATTTCCAGTAAGTACATTTTTTAAAATAAAACAAACATAAATATTTACAAATTAAAATTCAGCTATTACGGACAACAATATTGTCACATTCACAATTCAATAACAATCACATGCAATAGTTATTAAAAAAAGCAACAGGAAAATGTCGACTAAAGAGAAAATGGCTGAAGACTTGAACAGTTCCAGTAAGTACATTTTTTAAAATAAAACAAACATAAATATTTACAAATTAAAATTCATCTATTACGGACAACAATATTGTCACAGTCACAATTCAATAACGATCACAGTGCAATAGTTATTAAAAAAAGCAACAGGAAAATGTCGACTAAAGAGAAAATGGCTGAGGACTTCAACAGTTCCAGTAAGTACATTTTTTAAAATAAAACAAACTTAAATATTACAAATTAAAATTCATGTTACGGACAACAATATACATAGTCACAGTCATAATTCAATAACGATCACATGCAATAGTTATTTAAAAAAACTACAGGAAAATGTCGACTAAAGAGAAAATGGCTGAGGACTTCAACAGTTCCAGTAAGTACTTTTTGTTAAATAAAACAAACATAAATATTTACAAATTAAAATTAATCTATTACGGACAACAATGTTGTATCGGTCGCGTATAGGTATACAAGAACGGTTGCAGTGTAATAGTTCGTAAAAAAATCAACAAAATGACGACTAAAGAGAAAATGGCTAAGGACTTGAACAATTCCAGTAAGTACTTTAAAAAAAATATTTATAAGTCACAGTGATAACTTAATTTTTTGATTTGTTTTCAAGAGAATGTCTTGAGTACGTGTATACTGATTGAACATCGGAACCGGAACTATCTAAATAATAGAATACAAGAAAAACCGGAAAAATCTATTTAAAACATCATTTATTTAAAAGAGCGACGCACGAGTTTCTTGCTCATTCTGCATTTCGAATGAGCGGTAGAATAAAAAAATGTGACTATTCAAAAGTGCTTATATTAAGTTTATTTGAATAAAAATGATTTCTAATTCTATTACTACCAACTACAATAGAATAGAAAATCATTTATTCAAATAAACTTACATTGAAGCACTTTTGAATAGTCATAACATTTTTTTTTTAATCTACCGCTCATTCGGAATGCTGTCTCATCACAAGAAGAACAAGCAAGAAACTTGTGTGTTGCTCTTTTAAATAATTTATTCTTACTTACAATTTAAGTTTTAGTGTGTGAATACAAACCACCGATTAGCACTAATTCAATGAAATAATAAAATAGGAAAAAAAGACATTCAATATACAACAACTGGTTAAACAATTAATAAGAGAAAATAAGTCATAGTGATTAGAGCAGAACAGTCCACACAAGCAGCACCCGTTCACGAGTATGACGGATGAGCCAGCCACCACTGCGCTCGACCATATTTTAGGGAGCCCAATGACCCGGCCTACCACGCCGCCACAAGTCTGGACATTTTAGTGAGCATGACTACTCAAAACACACCAGACCACGTCATAGCTACTACAATGGTGGTAAACAGTGAATCTGTTGTTTACGATCAGTAAGGTGCAGTTAATTTTATAAGTCTTGTCGCATGAAGTAATCAACCTTCATCATCTGTCTTGTGTGATACTGCAATTTTTATTCACATAATTTCAAAATAGAATACTTATTTATTAAGCAGAACAAACAGACAGACAGATAAAAATTGTAAAAAATGTTACTTTGGTGTATGTACTATGTACCGTATTTATATTCGTGTGCATGTAGTAAAAAACGGTTATTGCAATATTACTTAATTTATATTCATATATAAATACGGTGCATACAACAAAATAACATTTTTTACAGTCTGTCTGTCTTTTTGTTTGTTCCGGCTAATCTCTGAAATGGCCGGACCGACTTTGACGAGACTTTTTTTGGCAGGTAGCTTATGCAATAACGAGTAACTTAAGTTACTTTTATTTAAAAAAAATCTCTAATTAACTATTAGTATATAATATATAATATAAGTCGCGAGTACAGCTACTTTTATATAAAAGCCATGTTTTTGTCTGTATCTCAGATTGCTTCTACTAAACCCTGAATCGGGTTTTGATAAGGAGTCCACTGTGGTTTGAGAATTTCTTACGTTATTATTTTATACTCTTCTGTTACGTCTGTAAGCGTAATATTTATTTATATGAGGCCTCCATTTTGTTCTCTATACACCTGAGTAAAGACGAAGTGGGTTGTTATTAATAGCTTATTACTTACATTTATTGTACATTGACACATATATCTTATTTTTCTCAAAAAAAAAAATGAATGTACTTATATACTACATATATATGTATATTACTAGCTCTTGCCTGCGGCATTTATCGCGTTAATTTATCCTCTTAGAGATGGAATTTTTCAAAATCTTTTCTTAGGAGATGCTTACATCATAGCAGCTTTATGCATGCAAAGTTTTAACCCGATCGGTTTAAAATTGACAAAGTTTCATACAAACTTTCATCCCCTATTTTATCTCCTTGGGAGTAGAATTAATCAAAATCCTTTCTTAGCGGATGCCTACGTCATAACATCTACCTGTATGCCAAATTTCAGCCCGATCCGTGCAGTAGTTTGGGCTGTGCGTTGATAGATCACTATGTCAGTCACCTATGAGTTATATACATACATATATATAGATTCTTCTGTTACGTCTGTATGCGTAATATTTAATTATATGAGGCCTCCATCTTGTTCTCTATACACCTGAGTAAAGACGAAGTGGGTTGTTATTAATAGCTTATTACTTACACATATTGTACATTGACATATATATATTATTTTTCTAAAAAAAGTTATTAATTTATTTTATGAATATACTAGCTACACGCCCCGGCTTCGCATGTAAAACATATTATACGTACGCCTCCTGAATCACTCTATCTATTAAAAAAAACCGCTTCAAAATCCGTTGCGTAGTTTTAAAGATTTTTGCATACACAGGGACGGACAGACAGCGACAGCGACTTTATTTTATACTATGTAGTGATAGAAAAAACAGGTCTAAACAGTATATAGATCTTGACACAATTTATAAAACAAACTAAGTCATGCGAGGAATCGAACCCGCGACCATCCGAAGTACTAAACCGCTAGACCACCGAGGCCGTCTATTAGAAGGAAGTGTTTACAACAAGCAGATAAACATATGAAAAACAAAGTACTTGTTGCTTTATAGTCTTCATTGATATAGATGTATATCGTAATCTTTTATTACATAACCGGGTATTCGGCATCTACAAACTTTACCTTTTGTAATCTTTCTTTTCTTTAATGTCAAAATCCGGTTTTGAAATTAAGAAAGATGAATGCATTCGGCATCAAATTCAAAATTCAAAATATCTTTATTCATGTAGGTCTATTACAGGCTCTTATAATTTGTTAAATCTACCGTCAATTCGGAATGATTACGAGATGAGAAGAACTGACAAGATACTCAGCTCGTATTTTTTTTAAACAAATGTTGTACATGTTTACAATTATACAGATACATTTAAATTCAAATTTGGGAGAATAGAGTGACCACCAGCATATGTTATTGCAAAAAACAAAGAATCTAATCAGTGTTCGCAACCAAAACAGACCAGTCCCCACAAGCAGCACCCGTTCACGAGTATGACGTAACATACTCGTGAACTGGTGCTGCTATATCAACAAACTTAACAACAAACCTTTTGTAATCTTTCTTAATTTCAGAACCGGGTATTGGCATTCGGAATCTACAATCATGTGACCTTTTGTAATCTTTCTTAATTTCAAAACCGGTTATAGGCATTCGGCATCTACAAGCTTGTAACCTTTTGTAATCTTTCTTTATTTTAGAACTGAATATTGGCATTCGAAATCTACAAACTTGTAACCTTTTGTAATCTTTGTTAATTTAAAAACCGGCTGTAGTCATTCGGATCTATAAGCTTGTAACCTTTTGTAATCTTTATTAATTTCAAAACCGGGTGTAGTCATTCGGCATCTACAAGCTTGTAACCTTTTGTAATCTTTCTTAATTTCAGAACCGGGTATTGGCATCCGGCATCTACAAACTGTGCTCATGTTCTTCGGGGTCCTGTTGGCTTACTGCATGAGGGTCAATATGAGCATGGCCATTGTTGCTATGACTGACGGCAGTGAAAATGTAAGTCAGTATATATCAAAGTCCGTTTAATTAATAATCTTAAGAAATAAGTTATATAAAAAGATAGCTAAAACGCATTTTATAAGGCATCTCCCTACAACGTAGTGGGAGACTCGCTGATTTTTTTTTACTGTTTTTTTTTGGATTTGTACAGAAAATGTGACGATGGCAATCCCATCATATCTATACAAAATAATAGAAATAAAAAATCTAAATATATATAACTCAAAGGTGCCTGACTGACATAGTGATCTATCAACGCACAGCCCAAACCACTGGACGGATCGGGCTGAAATTTGGCATGCAGGTAGATGTTCGGACGTAGGTATTCGCTATGAAAGGATTTTGATTAATTCTACCCCCAAGGGGATAAAATAGAGGATAAAAGTTTGTTTGAAACTTTGTCAAGTTTAAACCGATCGGGCTGAGACTTTGCATGCATAAAGCTACTATGACGTAGGCATCCCCTAAGAAAGGATTTTGATAAATTCCACTATGGGGATAAGCCCCTATTTTATCCCTTTGGGGGTAGAATTAATCAAAATCCTTTCTTAGCGGATTCCTACGTCTTAACATCTACTTGCACGCCAAATTTCAGCCCGATCCGTCCAGTGGTTTGGGCTGTGCGTTGATAGATCACTACGTCAGTCACCTTTGAGTTATATATATTTAGATGTATATTTATATAGGTGTCTATGTCTAACATTAAATGAAAATCCCGTGCATGAACAACTATTGCCATGCACGCTCGTTATTCAAGTAATCGTTTAGTAAGACTTTGCTCAGTAAATATGATTTAACAGTTGTCTTTGGTAATAAAAATAAAAAAACTGTGTTTATTTTCAGTCGTTTGACTGGAGCATGCAAGTCCAGAGTGTGATCCTCTCATCATTCTTCTGGGGTTACGTGGTACTCCAGGTGCCGAGTGGTGAGATGGCTGCCAGATTTGGCGGGAAAGTGCTGCTATGTTTATGTGTTGGTCTTAATTCGGCTACATCTTTATGCATACCAATAGCAGCCTATTATGTGAGTATGAAATTGAAGATGATCAAGTTTTGTATATCTTACACAAATTCCTTTTCACAATTTTTGTCTGTCTATCTATATGTCTGTTTGTTCTAATCTCTGTTGTTTCGGCTAATCTCTGAAATGGCTGGACCGATTTTGACGGGACTTTTATTGGCAGGTAACTGATGTAATAAGGAGTAACTCAGGCTACTTTTATTTTAGAAAAATAAAATTCATTTCCACGCGGACGAAGTCGCGGGAACAGCTAGTCTATACATATAAAATAAATTGGAGTGTCTGTTTGTAATATTGAAATAACCGTTTTTCACTACATGCATATGAATATAAATACGGTACGTACACCAAAATAACATTTTAAAAATTTTTTGTCTGTTTGTGCCGGATAATCTCTGAAATGGCTGGACCGATTTTGACCGGACTTTTATTGGCAGGTAACTGATGTAATAAGGAGTAACTTAGGCTACTTTTATTTTAGAAAAATAAAGTTAAATTCTATATATTTCTTATAGTTTATAATAAAAAATTTAATTAGTATAAATATGGACTTAATGTTACTTTTAAAGTATTATTTCAGGGTGGATGGCAGATGGTGTGCGCCTGTCGGGTCATTCAAGGATTGTCTCAAGGTTTCATATATCCATCATTGCACACCCTTATTGGAAAGTGGGTGCCTTTGGAGGAGAAAACCACGTTGGGATCGTTCATTTATGCTGGTGAGTGAATAATCTTCATTACGTAATAAAACAGTTCTACAGATTGGCGAGTCAATATATAAAAACTACTGTACTATTATCTGTATTAAATAAAGTAAAAAAAAAAAGTTCCTTTGCCAAAAAGCTTACTATAAAATTGAAGAATTCGTTAACGATAGTAATGTTTTTATAGAAAAACTTTAAATTCATAGCACTGACAATATTATCTGATTACACTAATAATGAGTGCGTAGCGATTTCTATGCTGATTATCGCATGCCTCTTACTTGTTATACTGTAATTATTTATATGAAAAAAACATCTATTAAAAAGATCAACACACAAGTTTCTTGCTCGTTCTTCTTGTGATGAATCTGCGTTCCGAATGATGGTAGAATCAAAATGTGACTATTCAAAAGTGCTTGTAATGAGTTTATTTGAATATAGATTATTTCTATTTCATAGTAAAAAACAATGATAAGGTAAGTATTCATTTATGAGGGGTAATTTCAAGGGTATATTAAGGCTTCTTAAGTTGGCTATTGCCAACGAATACGAGACACTGGTGTTTCAGGCGTCCATAGGCTACGGTAACCGTTCACCATCAGATGGGTCGTATGCTTGTCGCTGTCACTTTCTGCCCGTCCCTATGTATGCTTAAATCTTTAAAACTACGCAACGGATTTTGAAGCGGTTTTTTTAATAGATAGAGTGATTCAAGAGGAAGGTTTATATATATAATACATGTATTTGACGACCTCGGTGGTCTAGCGGTCTAGTACACCGCTTTACGTCCGGTGGTCGCGGGTTCGATTCCTCGCACGGCACAAACATTTGTATTCATGAGTATGATTGTTTGTATCGGTCTGCGTATTTTCTATGTATAATATGTATGTATTTACGAAAAAAAAAACATATCTATGTATTTGTATCAGTTGTCAAGTACCCATAACACAAGCTTTAGGTAGCTTAATTTGGGTCTAGATGGCGCTGTGTGAATTGTTCAGAGATTATTTATTTATTTATTTATGTATGCCCGTGCGAAGCCGGGGCGAGTAGCTAGTTTTATATATAAAATTCTGGTGTCACAATGTTATGCCCAATTTACACTCAGCCCGCGTGGACAGGGAAGTGGGCAGGGAAGTGAGCAGCGCGAGACTGTAAACACGAGTGGAAACACTTCCCATGCCATTGGCGCTGCCACTCGCGCTGCCCAGCGATCTCTCGATTGTCGGTTTTTCATGCGCGAGTCAAAGGACTGGCAGCGCGAGTGGCAGCGTGTTTTTACATTCAGCCCTCTCGCTCAGTTGTCGCCCGGCAATATTTCCGGCAGCGCGAGTGGCAGGGGAAGCGGCTGAATGTAAACGTAGCATAATTAGTTACCAGACTCCTCCGAACTGGCTTTTACATACATATTCAGTAGGTCTGAGAATCGGCTACTATTTATTTTTCTTAACACTAAGTGATAAGGTTTGTCCATTATAAATACATCTAGTCTCACGGGAAGCAGAGCTTGTGTTGTGGGTACTAGACAACTGATGTAAATACTCATTTTTTTTTTGTAAATACGTACATAATATATATAAAAAACACCCAGAATGATACAAACAATCATACTCATGACGAATTTATAATACTTTCAGGTGGACATTTAGGTACAGCTCTTGAATTGTCTGCAGCAGGGTTCATAGCAGAGTACTGGGGGTGGCCAGCTATATTCTATGTGATTGGTACTTTAGGAGTTATTTGGACTACCATCTACATATTCATTGGGGCATCCTCTCCTCAAGAATCGAGGTTAATCAGCGATACAGAGCGAAAGTACATTGAGCACTCGTTGGGACATGTCGTTGGACAAAAGGTATGAAGTTATTCCATACTTAACTAGTTCTTTACTTAACACTACTCGTATATATACTTTAAATGGCAGAACAGTGATGAATGGATGAGAAAAACATTTTTTTTTATAATAATAATAATAATAATAATAATAAAGAGTTGCTCAATTTGAAGGATAGAAAAAATATTTTTTTTTATTAAGTATTTTACGGCCCTGGAAATTTCCTTTCAGCCAAACAATTACATTCTACAAATAGAAATCAGCTATTAATTACTAGGTACATCTATAGCGTTCTTATTAATGGGCAGTGTTGCCATTGGAGAATTTAGTCCCTAAAATAAAGTAATTTTTCTCTTTCAGAAATTAAGTACTCCCTGGAAGTCCCTGTTCACATCCATGTCCTTCATATCTTTGATAATTGTGCACTGCGGACAGAACTGGGGCTTCTGGACTCTCATGACGGAAATACCTTCGTACATGAATCAAGTGCTTGGCGTCAACATGAAATCAGTAAGGTCTTTTACAATTTTCTATTTAATAAACGCAATTTAGTCATTATGCACTGCTTGGTTTGGGACTAGATGGCGCTATATTATTGTATCGCTATAGGTTTATACAAAAAAAATATGAAATTATTTTTTTTTAAATAAAAAAAAAATTCAGTTAAGTTTCTTGCCAGCTCTTCTCGACTGAATCTGTGTATCGAGCTGTGTTGGCTGTGTACCCAGTCCAATTCATACAGGGATCGGAACTACGACAGCCTGAACCGAGGTTCGAATCCCTAGCGGTGCCCTCAGACTAGTCGTATCCGTTAGGCGGTAGTTGGCCTTCAGCCGCCCCATAAGTCCTTCCGCGGGTTTGGAGTGCCATCTGCACTGGCTCCCTATCGTCCAGTGAATCTGTAAAGGCCAGCTGTGGACTAGCATTAGAGTAGTCCGAAAGAAAAACAAAAAAAAAATTAACTTGACGATAGGGAAAAATGTTAATACAAAAAAAATCCAATAGAAATTAGTACGAAAAGTTGCTTATGACTGTTATATTTGAAATTATTAAAATTCTCTCAGTAGTCTGTTTGTGTGTTCTTTAATAGAATGGTCTGATGTCAGCTCTACCCTACCTGTCAATGTTTCTGCTGAGTTTTCCATTCGGATTCATCTCCAACTATGTGATCAGCAAGAACTGGCTCAGTGTTACTGCCACCAGGAAAATATCAAATTCTATAGGTAGGTACTAACGTGTAATGTATAGATTGATAGATATAGACTTTATTAGCTGTGCCCACGGTTTTGACCCGCGTGATTCAGCCTATCTGTTGTTTGTTACCCACACAGACCCACTCCGTAACAGATCCCCCGTCCAATTCAAACGGGGATCGATGTTACGACGGCCTGAGCCGAGGTTTGAACCCCTAGTGGTGCCCTCAGACTAAAGTCGTATCCGTCAGGCGGGAGGTGGCTTTCAGCCGCTCCATAAGTCCTTATACTACATAATACAGTACAATATTCTATTGGCACATTGATTTAAGAAGAAAAAGTATAATGCATCACATCTATACATATAAATAAAATTGTAGTGCCTGTTTGTAATATTGCAATAACCGTTTTTTACTACATGCATATGAATATAAATACGGCACATACATCAAAATAACATTTTTTACAATTTTCGTCTGTCTGTCTGTCTGTTTGTTACAGCTAATCTCCGAAATGGCTGGACCGATTTTGATGGTACTTTTTTTGGCAGGTAGCTGATGTAATAAGGAGTAACTTAGGCTACTTTTATTTTAGAGTTAGAAAAATAATGTTAAATGCCACGCGGATGAAGTCGCGGAAACAGCTAGTTTAAAATAAGTAATCATTTTGCTAAGTAACAGTTGATATGTAACGTGCAACTGATCGGAACGAGAACAAATTATATTTGCTGCTGTATATCTATATATATCTATATATATGTATATGTCAAGTGGGCGGTAGAGGTCCAACTATAATTAGTGTTCAATATTTTAACAGATTTAATTTTGGATATGTATCTGCTACTATTGCTCTATTGTTTACTCTTCCGTATACTGTTTTATATTACGTATGTTATTTAAATGTAGGGATGTAGAGTGTCTTAAATGTAATGGATTAAGGGACCGTATAGGCACATTGATTTTAAAAGAAAAACTCTAATCCATCACATTATAATAAGCAATCATGTTGCTAAGTAACAGTTGATATGTAACGTGCAACTGATCGGAACGAGAACAAATTATAAATTATATATACTGCTGTGTATGTGTAATCCACTGAATATCTCCATCAACATTACATTACCCATAACACAAGCTCTACTTACCTTGGGACTAGATGGCGTTGTGTGAATTGTCACCTAGATTTATTCATTTATCTTATATATAAAATTCTCGTGTCACAGTTTTCGTTCCCATACTTCTCCGAAACGGCTTGACCGATTCTCATGAAATTTTGTGAGCGTATTGAGTAGGTCTGAGAATAGGCCAACATCTATTTTTCATCCCCCTAAATGTTAGGGGTAGTCCACCCCTAAATTTTTTATTGTTATTTTTTGGACAAAATTTTTAGTTTCTATTTTTTATGATACAACATACAAAAATAATCATGAAATGTTTGTTTGTAATTTCAATTTTTTTTTCTTTTTCACTAAATACATATGATGTACTGACTGTGCTCGCGTTTACACTCGCGTGAAATGTATAGTCTATGTGTTATTGCGATGTATAAGCTATTTTATTATAAGTTTTATTAAAATCCATTAAGTACTTTTTGCGTGAAAGACTACTATATATCCATATTCACAAACTTTTGCGTTTAGAATATGAGTAATTTATACGTTGCTTATATAATAATAAATAAGTAATCTCAGGACAATTCACACAGCGCCATCTAGACCCAAAATAAGCTACCTAAAGCTTGTTTTATGGGCACTGGACAACTGATATAAATACATAGATATATACATATATATATAGAAATTACGCAGACCGATACAAACAATCATATTCATTAATAGAAATGTTTGTATCGTGCGAAGAGTCGAACCCGCGACCATCGTAAGATGGTGTGCTAAACCGCTAGACCACCGAGGCTCGATGCTCTCGGCTGCGCTAACAGTTTACGCAGTCGGGAGCACCATTCCATTATCGTCCATTAAACACAATATGTTTAGTTATCTATATATATATATATATACTAGCTGTCCCGACAAACGTTGTTTTGGCTTAAAATAAAAAAAAAAATTAGGGGTGGACTACCCCTAACATTTAGGGGGATGAAAAATAGATATTGGCCGATTCTCAGACCTACTCAATACGCTCACAAAATTTCATGTGAATCGGTCAAGCCGTTTCGGAGGAGTATGGGAACGAATACTGTGACACGAGAATTTTATATATAATAATAATAATAATCTCAGGACAATTCACACAGAGCCATCTAGACCTAAGTTAAGCTAGCTAGAGCTTGTGTTATGGGTACTAGATAACTGATACATATACATAGATATTTTTTTTTTTTTTGTAAATACATACATATTATACATAGAAAACACCCAGACCGATACAAACAATCATACTCATGTATACAAATGTTTGTGCCGTACGAGGAATCGAACCCGCGACCATCGGTCGTAAAGCGGTGTGCTTGACCGCTAAACCACCGAGGTCGTCATAAGATATATACATATATTATTATACTATTTGCTTAATTACAGGTCTGTTCGGGCCGGCCTTAACGTTGATTGCCCTTTGTTACACGCCTGCCGATGTAACTGTTACAGTAGTTATGCTAACGTTGGTTGTCGGCCTCAACGCTGGACATATAATGGGCTTCATGGTAATTTTTTTAAGGATGATAATGGAATGGTGCACCCGCCTGCACTAACGGTTTACGCTGGCGGGGCACCAGTGGAGGATGATAGGATGAATATGAGATCAGGTCAATTAGCCCATCGTGACAAATTCAGCAGGAATTTATCACGATGGTTTCCAGGGGGGACCGCGTGGAGGTCAACCTGACATGGTACATTGCTAGTAATGGGCCAATGAGTCCACATTACTAACAATCCCTTTCTTTATGGTAATTTCGTTCGCTCAATTTATAACTTACTACCTGTCCCGGCAAACATTGTTATGGCATAAAATTAAAATCACTATTAAAAATTGGGGTTGATGCTAGAAGGGTGAAAATTTAGGGTTGTATGTATTTATCAATCTTAAATAATAAACTGAAAATAAAATAAATAATATATATTTATGGGTTACCACTTAGGGGTATGAAAAATAGATGGTAGGCAATTCTCAGACCTACTGAATATGCATATAAAATTTCATAAAAATCTATCAAGCCGTTTGGGACGAGTATGGTAAGTAACATTGTGACACGAGAATTTTATATATAAGTTAGAGCAAGAGCCCACGATGGCCAGACATTAATATTATTAGTAAATGTGAAAGTTCTTGTCTGTGTGTCCCCAAATCTGGTAAGAACGATCTCTAACTATGAAACCTGGATGGTAGTTCCTTTGGCATGTAACAGGTAACAAAGGTGTAAAATTTTTCATGTCAAATAACGAATTTGACATGAAAAATTTCATGATACTCAATTTTTCCACTTATTGTTTGTAACAATATTATAACTTGCACTGCTCAATGCCAGACACTTAGTATGGTTCCAACCCCCCACCAGACACCCCTAAACTATATTATTTTATAAATATACTTAAGTTATTTTATGAAAGCTGACTTTTATATATATTATTATTCAGAAAACTATTAAACTGTGTTTCCTTAATTGGACAGACAGTTTTGTTGGTTCTATGATCTTACCAGACGCATTGAAAACGTATATTGAGTGACAAAGGTATACGCAATTTCATATTAAATTCGTTAAATTATGAAATTCGATTTTTTTACACATTCTTCGTAACAGTATTATAACTTGCGCTGATCATTGCCAGACACTTTGTATGGTTACAACCCCCCGCCAGACACTCCTAAACTATATTATTATTATATAAATATACTTACGTTATTTTGTTAAAGGTAAAGTTTATATATATATTATTCAGAGAACTATTAAACTATGTTTCCTTAATTGCCAGACAGTTTCGTTGGTAATATCATCTTAATAGACGCATTGAATTCTATGCTATGTATATGCTCCATTTTTTCACATATTGCTCGTAACAGTATTATAATGTGCGCTGTTCATTTCCAGACACTTTGTATGGTTACAAAACCCCCGCCGCAGCGCCGGACACCCACAAACTATAAAATTGTACAATTATACTTACGTTATATTATGAAAGCTGAATTTTTTATATATTATTCAGAGAACTATTAAACTGTGGTTCATTAATCACCAGACAGTTGTGTTGGTTCTATCATCCTACCAGATGCATTGAAAGCGTATAGGGTAACAAAGGTGTATAAAAGTTCATCTCAAATTTATTAACATTTTCAAATTTCAAAAGTGCTTAAATTAAGTTTATTTCAATAAATGATTTTTTTTACCTATTATTTTATTCTATGTGTTTTCGTAATAACAGTTGGTGCATATCGACATGGCTCCTAACTTCGCCGGTACCATGATGGGAATAACTAACGCTGCTGCAAACATCGTATCAATTATAGCCCCATTGGCAGCTGGAGTCATATTAAATGATGAAGTGAGTATTAATTGGTTTTTCAAGAAGGGTATATTAAGGTTTCTTAAGGGTCGGCAACGCGCATGTGACACCCCTGGTGTTTCAGGCGTCCATAGGCTACTGTAACCGTTTACCATGAGATGGGCCGTATGCTCGTTTGCCACCTACGTGGTATATAAAAAAAATTAATCAATATTTTTAATATATTTGACGTAGCTTATTAACAGAATAATCCCCTGCAAATTGTACTCAACAGTAAATATAACAGGTTTATTCGCATGGGTGTATATAATGTACATACATACATGTCACGTGTCAAAAAAATAAAAATATTTTTTTAATCCAAACAATATTTTTTTTTAATTTAGTTGGTATAAAAATTAGTTATAGACCTATTCTCAGATCTACTGAATATACATATAAAATTTCATAAAAACCAGTCAAGACTCCACCTCTAGCAGACAGATTAGACCTCTACCAGACGCATATCTACTTCTCTCCATCCTAAGGTTGAGTTTAGCTATAAGGCCGCCCATTGTTACCTCTTTGTTTTGTTTATTGTTTTTTTTTATCATTTTATACATAATTGTATTTTCTGTGAGAGGAACAATAAAGAAATTTATTTATTCATTCATTCAAGCCGTTTCGGAGGAGTATGACCACGAAACCTGTGACACGAGAATTTTATACATTCGATATTCCTGTTGGTTTGTTAAAACTTACAAGAAATATTCAAACATTAATTATATATTAATAATTTTATACATTAATTATATAATTAACTCATTCATTAATGACGAATTCCATCATTGTAATTTTACTTTACAATAAAACAATTTACAATTTTACAATCTACAATTTTAGATAAAAGGAAAATTTTTAGTAACGTATTATATACAATAAATATATAATATATAAATAATAATAAATAAAATTGAAGTGTCTGTTTGTTATTTTAGTTTGTCTGCTTGTTTATTTTTGCTAATCTCTGAAATAGCTGGACTGATTTTAACGGGACTTTCACTTGTAGATAAATTAATGTTAGTTAGTCTAATTTTTTTATTAGAATTTTTATTTATTTTAGTGAAAAAGAAGGTAAATATTACACGAATGAAGCGGGTTACATCTAGTTAAAATATCCATTAGGATTAATATTTATATATGTTACAGACAGATCCAAAAGAATGGCACAAAGTGTTCTACTTGGCGTCAATAATCTACGTTATCTCAAATATAGTATTTCTTATATTTGGTTCGGCGGAGGTACAAACTTGGAATGATCCGAAATCTGAGAACAAAAATACTACAGGTAATATAATAATAAATAATCTCAGGACAATTGACATAGCGCCATCTAGATCCAAATTAAGCTAGCTTAATTTGAATCTAGATGGCGCTGTGTAAAAAAAAAATATATAATACGTAAATAATAATAATAATTTCAAGACAATTCACACAACGCCATCTAGACCCAAGTTAAGCTAGTAAAACTTGTGTTATGGGCACTAGACAACTGATACAAATACATAGATATGTTTTTATTCGTAAATTCGTACATATTATACATAGAAAACACCAATACAAACTATCATACTCATGAATACAAATATTTTTACCATGTGAGGAATCGAACCCCCGACCATGGGAAGTAAAGCGGTGTGCTAAACCGTTATACCACCTAGGTCGTAATTATGTTGTTAATGTTAACTATTATACAATGTTGCTTTTTTCTTATTTTACAGAAGAAGCATTCGGGAATGTGGAGAAGGTGATATAGAAGAAAGTTAAATAGTTAGTAAATTTAGATTTATTTATTTGCCATGTCAAAACAGGTCCCATTTGGCTCGTCAGTTACAAAATTATAATTCAATAGTAATCATCAACATTAATCATTAACATAAATTTAAATTTGATTTTGTCATAAATTCAATGATGTGATAAATAGATTATTTTCAAAAAATTACTTTATAATTCTTCTAAATTTTAAATTGGATAAATCAGCTACTTCTGTTGGCAATTTATTGTACATTATCATCTTCAATGGCTGCCCCTGCTTAGTAGATTTTGCTAGTCTTTTAATGTGTGTAAATGTATCTTAATTACAGAAGATATTATTTTATAAGTAGGAATTCTCATTGTTTTTTATTTTTACTACATCTGTAAGTGGAAAGTGACATTCGATTAACACGACTAGCGCAATTTGTGGCAATGACAACCTATATTGACACTGTGTTACACATTTTACTATATACTTAAGTGAAAATTAACATTCCATTAACACGATCAACGAAATTTGTGACAATGACAACCTATAATTACACAGTGTTACACATTTTACTACACCCATAAGTGAAAAGTGACATTCCATTAACACCACCAGCGCAATGTGTGACAATGTCATCCTACACTTACACAGTGTTACACATTTTATTACACCCATAAGTAAAAAGTGACATTCCATTAACACGATCAACGCAATGTGTGACAATGACATCCTACACTTACACAGTGTTACACATTTTATTACACCCATAAGTGGAAAGTGACATTCCATTAACACGATCAGCGCAATATGTGACAATGACAACATATACTTATACATGTTACACATTGTAAGTTACACTTCTCCCATCATTACATAGTATAAAACAAAGCAGCTGTCTGTCCGTCCCTATATATGCTAAAATCTTTAAAACTACGCAACGAATTTTGAACCAGTTTTTTTAATAGATAGAGTGATTCAAGAGGAAGGTTTATATGTGTAATACATGGACACCCGGGCGAAGCAAGGGCGAGTAGATAGAAGCCTATAAAATGAAAATACGAATTTTACAATTAATTTTGTTTCATAAATGTGAATGGGTTACAGTATAGTTATTTTTAAACTTTCGTATTTGATATTTATTATTTACGGGTCTCGAGTCCCGAGTCTCGAAAAATTTTATGGTAAATAAAAAAAAATACTTGAAACTATATTAGTATGCAAAATGGAAAACGTATTTTGCATTGATTTGTCATAAAAATCAATGTGTATAGGTTTACCAAATAAAATGTATAAATTTAATATTTTATGTAATAGAAACAATTTATATTCAAATAAACTTAATATAAGCACTTTTGAATAGTCATATTTTTTTACTACTACTCTTTCGGAACGCAGACTCATCACGAGAAGAACGAATGAAACTTGCGAGTTGCTCTTTTAAATAAATGTTATTCTAAGTAAATTCACATTAATAAGGATTAGGCATGCGGCAATCAACATAGAAATTGATACGCACTGAATCTTTGTGCAATCAGATAACTCCCTTTTTAGATAGCGTATTATTATGAGAAATATTATTTTCTAGTGCTATTATAATTATTATAATAACAATAATACCCCTAAACTATTTACACAACGCCATCTAGTCCCATGGTAAGCAGAGCTTGTGTTATGGGTACTAGGCAACTGATATAAATACATAGATTTTTCATTATATGAACACATACATAATGTACATACACCCAGATCGATACAAATGTTAGTAATGTGCCAGGAATCGAACCAGCGACCATAGGAAATATAATAGTGTGGTAAACCGCCAGACCATCGAGACCGTGAATTTATTGTAGAATATCATGGACGCTGTATTTTTAATAGTTAATTATTTATGATTTTAAACTATTATTAATTATTATTTTTAATTATTATTTATTTTATATGTATTTTTTCTAATAATACTGTTAGTTAATGATTTAAATCTTACATACATATAGGTAAATAATATATGAACCCATTCGGTGTCGAGACCCTTGGTCCGTGGGGTCCTAGCGCTATAAGACTTTTCAAAGAAATAACGAAAAGGTTAGTCGACATTGCAGAAGACCGAAGAGCTGGCAGCTACCTTGGACAAAGAATGAGTCTAGCTATTCAAAGAGGGAACGCTGCCAGTATCTTCGGAACGTTGCCTAAAGGGACCCCTTTTAATAATATATTTTAGTTATTATATTATATTTTTTAAGCTTTTTAATTTTAGGTGTGAACTTGTTATGTATTGTAAATATACTATTTGTTATTATTTTGTATTATTATTTTCCTGTCATATCCCACTAAATACATATGTATGAAAAAATTACCACCTAGAATAGAATAGAATAGAAAATCATTTAATCAAAAAAACTTAATTTAAGCACTTTTGAATAGTCAACATTTTTTTTTTAAATCTACCGCTTATTCGGAAAGCTTTCTCATCACAAGAAGAATAAGTAAGGAACTTGTGTGTTGCTCTTTTAAATAATCCTTGTAAGTTCACATTTTACAAGTCGAAACGTGTATACAAACTACCTACCAGCACTGATTTATAAACACAATAGGATTAAATGAATCGTAGTGATAAGAGCAGACCAGTCCCTACAAGCAGCACTCGTTCATGAGTATGACGGATGAGCCAGCCATCACTGCGCTCGACCATATTTTAGGGAACCCAATGACCCGGCCCACCACGCCGCCACATGTCTGGACATTTTAGTGAGCATGACTACTCATTCCACTCGACCACGTCACAGCTACAAAAATTACTATATGGTTGTTACAGTATTCGCACTTTACATGAGGATGCATGCGGAAATCAATACAAAAGCAGCATGAAAAACAAATTATAACGTTGTCCGCAAATAAACTTATTCTTGCTAGATATTGCTATCATCTACAAATTTATCTATCGTAAGTTAATTATAATATAAGTGTATCAATTCGGTAGAACCGATGTCACTTTTGGGAGACCCAGGTTATGTAAGACGATCACACACGCCAGTCTTTGTGAAAAAATATAGACCAAGCACTACTTACATATAGCCGGATCGTCGTATATTCCGCTGGAAGAGCCGGGGATCGATTCTTCCTTGTTGCGTTTTGCTCTTCGGGTTTCCACTTCGGATCTGCTGTCCACTTCAGGTTTCACAACTTGAAACATGATGATGGTTCATAGGGTTCTTTGGCTTTGGATTTTATAACACTTAGCTACGTTGCTCGCATCGAATCCATAGACAAGACTTCTGATCACGAAAATTGTCACGTGATCAGCTGATTGCTGTTACGATTGGCTATAGTACAACCAGTCAAGAAACTGGTCAGTGATTGGTCATTTCAATTCACTTAGACTGCATGTGTGAAACGTATATATAAATTAATAAAAATGTTGACGAAACAATAAGTTTAGGCAAGCTTCCCTTACTTATTTTATTATTTAATTGGAAACTGGTGTAAAGTTTGAGATTATATCTGAAATCAAAAGAACATCTTTAGGTGTTATAGGGTAATTTTTTTTATTGGGAGTTTTGGGCTATTGTCAGGTGCTAAAACCTGTAGCACTGCGACCTACATAGATCTATTGTGCTCGCTCTTTTTCAGAGTTCGCTACCTAGACCCGTCAGGGACAAGAATTGAAGGATATTCTTAGGAGCGATGGTTTTTATCTGCTCAGGATAGAGTGTATACTGTTGTTGTGTTACCAATAATAGGCACTGAGAATCAATAATGCAGACTGACCATGTCACCAAACCTGCACAATCTTCGTTCCGTTCCCGGGAACTTACGGCGGAATTACCACACAGCACCGCTTTTCGTGAAGTCGCTATGTTACACATATAGTCACTGAATCACTGGCAAGAAATGCCCGGATTGACACATTCAAAAGCCCTAATATCGGGCTACTCGAACAAATACTCCAATAGACTGTTGCTATTGAGTAAAAACAACATATGCATGATGACTAGGGCCCTCACAGGACACTGCAAGTTGAACAAGCATATGGCTAAACTAGGCCTATGCAAGACAAAGATTTGCAGATTCTGCCAAACTGAAGAGGAAACGCCACTACAGATCCTATGTGGTTGTAGCCCACTCATGCATAAACGAAATATCTCCTTTGGAAAGTTTACACTCTTTCCCGAGGAGATGAAAACCATCGCTCCTAAGAATATCCTTCAATTCTTGTCCCTGACGGGTCTAGGTAGCGAACTTTGAAAAGGGCGAGCACAATAGATATATGTAGGTCGCAGTGCTACAGGTGCTACAAACATCTGACAATAGCCCAAACAACAAATTAAAAAAAAAAAAATACATATATAGTCTTTCCTTGCTTTTTTGTATTTTATTTGCAAATTACAACAGAAGTATTTTAATATTGAATTAGTTATTTGATGAGACCTTGTGAAAATGGCGGCAATGCGATCAAGTGACCGGCTTTTTTTTTTAAGTGCATGGCTATAGATTCCCTGTATGAGGCAAAGACCAGCACGAACAACTGTTATGTCATCAAAAACATAAATGTGAAATGATAGCCGAATTCAATATTATGATATATGCCTTGATTGTTAACTTCTACGACAAAAGAGGTGAGATCTAAATGGGTGCCAAGTTCAATGGTCTGTCCTGAAATGTATTTATAACAATACAAAAATCATTTCTTCTTATAACTTAGGATACTATATTGTAGCCTAAGGTCTGACTTGGCTAAGAAGACAGGTATTATTGTAGAAAACAATACCATTAATTAAATTTACAATTGGTAAGTGAAATATAAAATAAAACACATCTTTATTAATACATTTTATTATTATTTTATTGTTACATTCAGAATGCAGATTCAGTCAAGTAGAACTTCTCTGTATAAATAAATCTTGTTCAATTACTATATTTAGACTTTCTGTGTGTGTACATACAGTATGGTATATGTAGTTTAATCATCATAAACTATTTAAAGAAAACATATTAGATATACAAAGAAGAGAAGG